AATAAACCTTTTAGCAGGCTGGCCAGCAGCTCCACTCAGTCTGGAGCCTGCCCCTGCTGCAGCTCTGCATTTAAAGTGTACTAGGAGCCAAGCGGGCTGCCCCGCTCGGTTCTGGCTCATGCTGTGTCCAGGAGCTCAGTCCAGGGGCTGCTGCCACCTCTGTATCAGAGGCAGCAGTGTGGGGCGACAGGCAGCCAGTCCGTGAGGGGAGCTGGTTTTTAAACTGGTTCCCCTTGCGGACCAGCTCCTGCCTGGCACCCCCTGCTGCTGCCTCTGATAGAGAAGCAGCAGTGCAGAGTGGCAGGGGGCTCCTTGGGAGTGGAGCCAGAGCGCACTGGGGACCACCCCTGGGGACTATAGAATAGTCGAATCACCGATAAGAATTCATGAGGTTACTCAGCTGTTCAATTAAGCAATATCTAACATCCCTACATTAGACCAGACTTGCTTGTACACAAACAGGGCAGAGCCCAGCTATGGAATGAACCAGATGGGCTAGTTTTACAGAAATCTCATCCATGCTTGCTCCAATCATGTTCCTCATTCTTCTGGGCTGTGTTTACATTGGCACCCTTTTCCGGAAAAGGGATGCTAATGAGACACTTCGGAATTCCTACTTAAAATCAGGAATAAGGGATCTTCCGGAAAAGGCTTTATTTTCCGAAAGATCCCATCTAGACTGGCGCTTTTCTCCGGCAAAGCCCCGAGCCGGAAAAAAGCGGCAGCCATGTTCATGCAAATGCTGCAGGAAAAATTTAAATCCCCGGAATTTGCGCAATTCCGAAGTGTCTCATTAGCATCCCTTTTCCGGAAAAGGGTGTCAATGTAGACGCAGCTCTGGGGTTCTAAAGCTGGGGAGGAGAGGAGTGGGGGAAGGAGTGGAAGGCTACAGATCAGAAAAGCTAACTTGGAAAGTTTGATTTATTGCACCCACTGAACAGTCTGGAGGAGGTGAAGAAGCAGCACCACTTAGAAGTAATTTAGCTTTTCAGCATCTGCGGGTCTATTGATTAGCTAGAGCAAGTAAGTAAATGAGGGAGATGAAGGGACAGGTGATAAGAAGCGATTGATGTCCTACCAGGCTAACGCCATAAAGTCTAATGACATTTTCATTCCTTTACAAGCATTTCAGCCAGAAATTATTCAGGATGGTCTCTCTTGGGAGGTAACTCCCTGTCCTGCAACTGGGAACGATGTGTTAGGGTCAAAAAGGTTTCTCGGGAGGATGGGGCTAACGCCATAAAGTCTAATGACATTTTCATTCCTTTACAAGCATTTCAGCCAGAAATGATTCAGGATGGTCTCTCTTGGGAGGTAACTCCCTGTCCTGCAACTGGGAACGATGTGTTAGGGTCAAAAAGGTTTCTCTGGAGGATGGGTTCCAGTCAGCTCTCTGCACTCCTAGTGTTAGATCCATCACTCACATTTTCATTGGGACTAAGCCTGTTGGTTAATAGCCAGAAAGGCCTCTGGTTCTGCTAACAACATTTCACCGTGCGGCCTTGAGCAAGTTACTGCAACTCTGCCTCAGTTTCCCTCTACCTGTAAAAGAGTTTAATGATACTTGCCCCCAAAAAGGCTTAAAATGCTCACAGGAGGCTTTGAATGCATGAAATTTGTTTACCATTGAGCATCGGGAATTATTGACCACGTCAGCTAGTGGGGAGAGGAGATTCCTCCCCAAACCCACCGCATTCAGTTTCATTGCTGCAGCACTTCAGATGTGTATATAAAACCACACAAAGCACCGCTGAGACCGAATAACTGAACTCGACGGATCTATTTCAGTGCCTCAACCTAAGGAAATTTCACTGCCCTGTTCACCCATTGCCGAGGTTGTGAACCAGATGCATGAGAGTGCAGTCCTGGTAGGCTTTTCTTGTATTCATTGAGAACTGCAGAATACACCGAGGGAGCTTACAGTGTAACGGGAGGCCAAGAGAAATGGCCCTTAACTACAGTAACACTCTGCAGTGAGACCATGCAGCATCTTTCAGCTGGGCCTCCACGGTGAGGCAGGCGCGCTGTCCTTCCAAAGTTATTGATGGGGAAACCAAAGAGGTAATGGGAGCAGGATTTCACCCTTAGGGCCAGTGACTTCAGTATGTGCCAGATCATGCCCTAACCTGTCTCTTCCCTATCACCCTGCCACGCTCTGTGGTCAGTGCAACCCATCTTTCCACCCTTCATGTTCTCAAAACGGTGCCGCTGCTCTCCAGAGAGGAGGCGGCAGGGAAGAGAGAGTCAGGAAGGCAGTGGCGGGAAGCAGTTTGGAATGAGTAATGTAGCCAGAAGCTAGCAAGTGTTTGTAGTGGGATCTGGAGGAATTGGGGGTGGAGGCAGGGCAGTCCTCACACATACGCAGAATACGCTGCTGCATAGGACACCCGAAAATATGGGGCACCACTGGGTCTTACTGTCCACCCACCCGCCTCTTCCTAGCTCTGTTCCGTGACTTCGCTGCCTCCGGAGAGGGTCTAGAAACATGTCATTAGCGTGTTGCTTACGATTATAAAATCACATCTCTAAAATCATGCCCCGTGCCTGGCTGCCTTTGGGCATAGGGCACCAGTTTAATAGTACTGCATAGGGCTCCATAAATTCTAAGGATGCCCCTGGCTTCAGTTTTCAGCTTCAGAGTCTGGGCTGGCCTCTCTCTCCTTGGGCGGGTTGCTTGCTGGTTTTATTTCAATATCGGGCAGCCACACTGGTCATTTTCACAGTTTATGCTGGCTCCTGAACTGGCAAATTATTACAGCTCAGTGCCTCATTCATTAAACTAATCAGATGTGGATTAGGCTTAGCTGGAATTTTTTATACAGCATGAGATTCCTAGACCTACAGCTACCCAGAGAAAAATCTACCTTTGAACAAACAGCATGCAATATATCAACTGACATATCGAGAAAAACGGAGAGTGCACGATGGGAAAAAAAAAGGGGGGGATGTTTGCTATCATCCGAGAACCTCTGGGAAGGGTGGGTTGCCTAAGAAAGCAGGTCTCTGTGCTTGTCGGCAGATGAGAGCAGAGCACGAGGAGCCAACTTGTCAAAAGTCACAGTTTCTCCCCCTTGTTTTCACAGCAGTAGCTGTTTATGGAGCACAAGACTATTTCTAGTGCTCCGTGTGTGATCCTAGTCACAAAGAGATCCCATAGCCAGAGGCCAGCGAGACAGAAATGAAGAGGAACATTTTCAAAAGTGCACAGATGACACTGGAACCTTAGGAGTCTAGGGCGTTGTCTGCACTAGCGTGGGCCGTCAACTTAAGTTATGCAACTTCAGCGAGGTGAACAACATACCGTATATTCCGGCGTACAAGACGACCTCTGAAGTTAAAAAACATCCCCCAAAAATCGCTCCAGCAGACCAGGGACACCGGGAGCAAAGGAGGCGGAGGGGCGCTGGGGTATAAGATGAAACCCTATCTTTTAATTAAAAAGATAGGGGGTTGTCTTATACGCCCAGTCGCCCTATACGCCGGAAAATACGGTAGCTAAAGTTGATGTACTTAGGTCTGCTTACCACAGTATCATCAGCAGAAAGTCGACAGCTGACGCTTGCCCATTGACTCCACTTACTCTTCTTGTTTTGGTGGAGTACCAGAACTGACAGGACAGTGCTTGGTGGTTGATTTATAGTCTCTATACCAGACATGATAAATCAACTCCTGCTGGATCGGTTGCTGCCCTTTGATCCAACCTGTAGTGAAGACATGCCCATGGTCTCATGGCAAGTCAATGAAATTCAGATTCCCAAGTGCCTATGGGCAGGGCTGGATTATCCAATAGGCAAACTAAGCACGTGCTTAGGGCACTAGCAAAGCAGGGGCACACATACACACACACACACACACACACAAAAAGATTTTACGGTATAGTATTGTTTTTATTTTGAATTACATATGGGGGGGGGACCATAATCTTTTCAGTGTTTAGGGCCTCTAAAGGTCTTAATCCAGCCGTGCCTATGGGTATGTGTACACAGCAAGTGAAGATGTATTATAGTGTGGGGAGCCATACCCAGGCCAGCTTTAATTAGGTAACAGTGGCAGTGATTATACTGCAGCTCAGGTTTCAGCATGAGATAGCAACCAGAATAGAATCCCAGACTCCCCACAGTTGTGTTGCCAGCCTGTGCTGAAGCCTATACTGCCGTGTGCAAGATGCTAGTGTTACCCATGCAGGTAAGCCTACCCATGCCCCAATCACACCAGTGCAGACACACCCCAGGTCACTTTTGAAAATGGCACTTTGGTGCATTTGAAAACCTTACCCATCTCCCAGGCCTCTCTGCAGTGGGACAGGAACCACACGGTCAGTTTTCAGGGTCCAGGGGCTATGGCTGCCAACAGCTCTCGGCACCCAATTTGGATAATGATCATTTCTGCTCCTAGGTGCCTAGGCTGAGGAAGGAAATCCTAGGGCTGGGGGCAATGGGAAGTCAAACAGAACCCTTTTTTCTTTCATTACTCGCCATCCTGCACAGCAGGTCAACAGGAACGGTCCCGCCTGGCAGTTTCCAGGCTGGAAATCAGCCCTGCACGGGGCTTAATGCAAACGTGCAGCCTGTGTCATCAGAACCCAAGCAGCCAGGTGAGCCAGCTCATCTAAGCAAAGGCTGAGAATAGCTGGAGGCTCCGTGCTGCCTCTGAAAGTGTGAATCTCCCAGCCGGCCGCCATACTCCAGAACACTTGACAGCTGGAAGGGCAGAGGGAGGAGAAGGAACGTCCCAGGGATGGCATCTTCTAAATGCCTTTAAAAGAGACAGTGTGGGGGAGGGGGAGGACTTTCAGAAGTGCCCAGCACTGGCCTAACTTTGTTTCCACTGAAGTTGAAGGGAGCTTTACCCTCAACATCAGTGCGCGGCGCGCTTTGGAAAACCGCACCCAGCGTTCGCAGGCGGGACCCAGCCAAAATCGTTGCTGGAAACAGAATGTCAGACACAAACCCAGCACCTGGGGCTGAAAGCTGCTCCTCCGTCTGGCTCACTTGACTTACCAGGTTGACGAAGTCCTGGTAACAGATCTTCCCGTCTGAATTGTTGTCTGCCAAGGCCAAGAGGACCTCCAGCTTGTGTGGGTCCAGCTCAGAGCCGTGTCTCTGGAGGAGGTTTTGGAATTTCTCAGTGCTGATGTAGCCAGTGCTCTCGGGGTCGAACTGAGAGGGAGAAAACAAAGCAAGAGTTATATGCTCAGCATGACACAGCGCCTACAATGCCGACCTCTGGAGGGGTCAGCCACAGGCCCCGCTGGGATGGCAGCAGTGTTGTTGCAGAGTGACACGTTGCCACGCACGCCATCACAACGGTATCCCTTTGGCAGGTAGCACTGTGGGCTGCAGTGCAGCTCTCGGTACAAGGGATGGGGAGCATGGACGGCGGGTATAAGAGGCAGGGGAAAGCAACGCCTTCGCAAACTGCCAGCCCAGCACTGCCCACACTCTGCCCCCAGGTCCCGCCCCACTTCAGGGCTTCTCCCCTGGGCTGTCTGGGATTCAGCCCTGCTAAGGCTGGGGACGAGCCATCAGCCCTCCAGGGGTTGGGGCTATGTGCTACTCACCCTCCCTCTCCCCTGTGCTCCAGCTGGGGCCAAGGAAGGCTGGTGCCACTTGCCCTGCCCTTCCCCTGTGCTTGGGAGGGGAGGACTAAGACCATGTATTGCCCATTGGGGTAGGGTGGCCTAACCCTATAGTGAGGGGGGTAGGGGCACTAGGCTCCTACTGGGTCTTGGGTGGCAGGGGTGGGGCCTCAGGCAGAAGGGGCAGAGCTGGGGGCTCCGCCCCCCATTGCCCTAGGTTCACCTGCTGCTCTTGATGGGGAGAACTCCTCTACCATCACCCAATCAGTAGTAGGCAGCCAGTTATACTAGGTGGAGGGACACTGTCCTGGATGCCGTGTCAGGGCTGCAGAATGTAAAGGTTATGTCTGCCTGAGGCAGGGAGGGATGCTCCAGGTGAACACAGAAGGGAGAGCAAGAGAAGACATCGGTGAGCAGAAAAGCAAACCCCTGCATTTCCCTAGAGAGCAGCCTGAGGGCTTTGGTTGCTGGCCGCTTGGGATGGTGATCACATCCAGTCAGGCACTCGAGAGCCCACCTAGCTAGAAAGGAGGAGAGGCCTGGCTCTTGAGAGAGTGACCACGCCAAACTGCCAGCAAGCAGAGACACAACCCCAAAGCTCTAGTACCTGCAGGATTGCAAGCACCTGCTTTCTAAAGTTAATTCCTAATCCAGAGCATGAGACACAAAGTGGAGACATGCCCCATTAATGTTCCCATCGGCCTCCTCATTCCCACTTCTTTTACCTACAGCCTTTGTCTTGTCTCACAAGCTCATAGATCTCTCTTGGAGTCTGCATCTCCAAGTAAATACACCCTATCACGTCTCGGCAGGTACTGCACTGTTTGGCCAATGGATCCATTTAATGGAGTGTTCATTTCTGTTCGTGCTTGGAGACATGCCCCATTAATGTTCCCATCGGCCTCCTCATTCCCACTTCTTTTACCTACAGCCTTTGTCTTGTCTCACAAGCTCATAGATCTCTCTTGGAGTCTGCATCTCCAAGTAAATACACCCTATCACGTCTCGGCAGGTACTGCACTGTTTGGCCAATGGATCCATTTAATGGAGTGTTCATTTCTGTTCGTGCTTTTATTTGCGAAGTTAAAACTGTCAACATTTGCTCCTGGCAGGCAGGCAGCCAGAAGGCTTACAGAGATTTTCAGATTCCTTATCCTGTCAAATACCGGGCACAGACAACATAACTTGCCTTGCTTGTCGAGCACTTTCTCCCTAAAAAGGATCTCACCCTGTTTGAAAAATATTACCTGCACCAGCCACCCCTGAAACACAGGCGCTTCCCCGGAGGCGGGGGGCGGGGGGGAAGGGAGTAGAGACTAGTAGCCATTGACAGCCATGTACAACAATACAAAACAGATCTGGATGAGCAGAGAAGAAAAATGATTCAAGAGCTGGAAAATCTGCCTTAGACTATGGGTATCATTTCCCGGGCTTCATTTGCATAAACCGGGCGCCGCCATTTTTAAATCCCGGCTGGTTCGAACCCCATGCCGCGCAGCTCCACGCGGCACGAACTAGTTAGTTCGAACTAGGCTTCCTAGTTCGAACTACCGTTACTCCTCATTCCACGAGGAGTAATGGTAGTTCGAACTAGGA